GCGAATTTCAATATATCATGACAGGTAAAAATACCTTAAGACTTTAAGTACACAGCCGATACTGTATTGTTTCGTTGGTTCTCGTTAGCAGGACTTGAACTGTGACCTGACTTTTAAAATCATCTGATCATAGTCTACGGTGACATTTTAACGCGACAGATCATATTCTACGGTAACATTTAATGCCGACAGATCACAGTCTATGGTAACATTTTAAGAAGACAGAACACAGTCTAAAGTAACATTGAAGTCCGACAGGTCACTGTCTACTCTGCTGGTTCCACATATGCCTTCAAGAACAGTACACCTGTTTATTTGTTTGTTGTTTGTTTTTTTTTTTTTTTTTTTTTTTTTTTTTTTTTTTGCAACGCCAGAACCAATTCCACCTCTGACTTCTGGTTTCAGCTGGGAGGACTATACACGAGCAAAGGTGGGAGCCGTTATAAACGTGTTGGCATTTTAATGTGGGAGTAAATCTCTTAGTAGACTTTAACAGCCCGGAGATTTAACGTTGTCCATTGCATCCCGAAAATATTCACCATCCTAGATTTGCAAGCATATGTTTTGTCTTGATGTGTTGCAAATTTATCCTTTTTGTACTTTTTCATGAGGTAACACATGCTGAAAGTATAATGAACGTTATGATTTTATATTCCGTGTAATACATTAATAGTAGTAGTAGTAGTAGTACTAGTACTAGTAGTAACAGCAGTAGTAGTAATAACAGCGTCAGTAGTTGTAGTAGTAGTAGTAGTAGTAGTAACAGCCGTAGTAGTAACAGCAAAAGTAGAAGTAGTATCAGTAGTAGTATCAGCCTTAGTAATGGCAGCAGTATAGGGAATAGTTGTAGTAGTAGTAACAGCAGCAATATTAGTATTGGCAAAAGGGGTTGCAATGGTACTGGTGTTAGAAAAAGACTCAAAATAATTGCATTATAGTAGTGGTGGTGTTGGTGATGGAATTAATTATGTTAATGGCAAACTGATAAATGCTGGCTATGTTCAGGTTGAGTTTCGAGTAGTGCTATTTTTATAATTTCGCTAGACCTACTGGCGAACATGCGTCGAATGATATATAAAATGAAGCAACATTTTTTTTTTCTCTCCTCGGAAATGGTACCTAAGTCTTTTCTCGTCTTGCATATCAAAGGACTTGTTGTAGTGACACAGTACCTGCCAAGTTAGGATGGGTCAAAGCTACTTTATCGTTATACAGATATAACAGATATATTCTAGAGGGAACAGCTTTCTATTGGTGACGGGAAACTTGTTGACTCGCACATGACATTTATGTTATTATTATTATTATTATTATTATTATTATTATTATTATTATTATTATTATTATTATTATTATTATTATTTGTTTTCTACGATACGGCTAGGCTTTCAATATTTGAAGGAAAACTCAGTATCGTAATTTCTGACTTTGGTACCGTTTGGCTACTCGTTCGGTTTCGAACGTCGTCGGGGTCCAGAGTGGCCGAGTGGTCTAAAGCGCTCACCGTTACTGATCACTGCCTTCTCACCTCTCCCTGCGTGGGCTCGAGTCTCCGGCTCGGCAAATGTGGATAGGTGAAAAAAAAAAAACTTGCCAGTAGCTTCTCGTGGGTCGTAGTTCTTTCCGGGGGTTTTCGGGTTTCTTCTTCCACCATTGATACTGGCTACCATGTATAGTCCTACACAATAACAACCAACGTCGTCCTCTCTCAGCGATATCCATTCAGGTCGGTAGTTCTTTCTTATATTTATGGTTTTCTCCAGCTAAATAATTAGTAGATTTCACTGCAAAATCTGCATGTAAGAGACTGCCTACACAATAAAAATTTTAACAACATTGCATATTACTGTTTAATTATAACAGGATGTGAGAAAGCCTGCCAGTAGAGTGCCGTATGTCTAGTTCTTTTCGGGGTATTCTCTAGTCCTCCTCCACCCAATATGTTGACGGCCATGTGTAGCGTTTGATAAAAACTGCGCTAAATCCAACTAAATTTAATGACACTGGTTCATCGTACACGATACCTAGACCATCACTGATAGCGATGTTAACAATATTGACATCGGCACCTGCGATAGTACGGGAGTTGTGCACGTTACTGCTATGATTTGATGAGGAAGTCTCATTATCACGTTTCACGCTTACGTCAAGCGAGCAATAAAACCTAAGATGATATTAAACGGCTGTGATTGTAACTCTGTCGGTAATAAAAATAAAAAAATGAAAATGATAAGCTATTACTTCCCGATAGCATTTGAATCGGACTATCTATCTATCTCTAAGTTGTGATCATCGTCCCATGACGACTATTATCACCGAAACCCTGAAGCAACTTTTTTTAACGGGGAATTCCTATCTGTGTCGGCTGGTTATTGTCCTTAGAGCAACGCCATTACGTAACGCTTGATTCTAACGAGGCGAAAGAAGAAACTGCGGCTACTTTATTTAGTGTGGATGACCAATCTGTGATTTTTTTTTTGTAACGGACACCTGTCGTGTCCGAGCTGCGCTGGCACCGTGGTTAAGGAAATGGTTTTCTTACACCAACATACGGATTACATGTATATTCCCAACATCAAATCTGCACTAGATCTAAAAAGGTGCATCCGTCAGATAGGTTTTATTTGCTTTGGCACGATTTAACCTTCAAAGTGTTGCTGTGTTTTAAAGACAAACAAGCAAATCAAAGCAGAAGTCGGATCATTCTAATTTTATAGAGCAATCAAATATGTATGTATGTATGTATGTATGTATGTATGTATGTATGTATGTATGTATGTATGTATGTATGTATGTATGTATGTATGTATGTATGTATGCATGCATACATGGTTGGTTGGGGTTTTATAAAGTTTAACACCATTTTTAGCATATAATATTCTCCACAAGGCGACCAGTATATTTGGTTGAGAAAGAAATCGCGAAGAACCAATTCCTGATCCATGGCTGTCTGCTGGCGAGGATTCTCACATACTCGCGTTGGCCGAGCCGAGCAGTGGTGAGATTTATACGAAAAGGCGAGCACCTTCGACCACTCGGGCACCTGCTGCCTCCGTATGTATGCCTGTATGCACACTCCATGCCGATAATGCCTGAATAAAAAAGATCACGTATATATATATATATATATATATATATATATATATATATATATATATATATATATATATATATATATATATAATCAGAGACGTTCGATGATTTAGATGGTCCATGAAAGAAATAAATGGAGGTGGGGGCCAAGAGGTTTGAAGTGCTTAGTTTCCTACATGGTTTTAGTCTCGCATTCGGCTAAGGTGGGTAGGTGAGAAACCTTGCCAGTAGCTTCTCGCGGGTGGGTGGTTCCCTCAGGTTTTTTTCCTGGTTCTTCCTCCATTAATACTGGCCGTCATGCATAACCTATTTTGTGCTGGAAAATGGCGTTAAACCCTACAACAACGTAAATGCATGATGGGCTGGGAAATGATGGGAAAGGGAATGGAGAGGATATAACTTCAATGAATGATAAGATTATCCACATTGCTAAGAATGATTTTCGGCAAATCTCTGAAGGTAAGCTAAGTCAACGAGCAGTTTTACAAAAATTCCCCCAAAATGGTTTAACGATGAAGTAATAGACTTAAAATATTTGCTTCGTAAAGCTTAAGTGTGCCTAAAATTTAGTCAAAGCTTTATTCCGGGCTCTAGGCATGGTTGGTAAAAAAATAAAATGTTTCATTCGATACAGCCTATCTGCTTTTGAATGACGTGAGAAAGTCGACAGGTGTGACTGGGCTCTCTGGGTTTTGGGTGCAGATATATCACTGTCAAAAAATTGCTGTCGCCAAAATGCAGCTAATTCGAGAAAAGGACACATAACCTAGGCCAAATATTGAAGATGGTCAATGTAGCAATGCGTTCAGTCATACTTGGTCATATAAATACCGCAGTAAAAATGCAATAAATTCAAAAAGGTTGCAATAAACTTAAAGAAATATATAATGTACGTCACCAACCGATACTGAAAACTAACGATGAAACGTCTTATTATCAGCACAATTTCATTAAAAACCCAAGTTTGTTCTTGGGACAATTTTATCATTTTATTAGAGAAATGTCTTCGGTTGATGGCAACATTTTAAAAGAATTTGTACGCAAAAAAATGTTATCAAGCATATAATTTATACCCGTTATAAAAAGATCGATATGCCTAGGTCTCTAAACATTTGTGAAGTAGACATCTGTTGTTTAGTCCCTCACCAGAAGCACAGCAGGTGTCATTACGTAATAGATCACCCGCGGTCCCGTAAAAGACTAGCTAGCGGCTTTTTGCAGTTTGGAAGATGTTTGACTCGCAGCTGGTATAGTACCTAGGGTGAATTTGGAGATTCGTGGGTAGCTGTTATATGTGCTTAAGTGACGACCGTGATAATGAAGATAGATGCTTTTTTTTTTCTTTTAGGGGTTCGAGCATTATAAAGTTACATTTAAACTTTATTAAATTTACTTCTGGAAAATATTTAGTTCGTAACTTCTGGTAATCAGAAAACTGTATTCACTAACTAAATTTATTTATGCAAAGTGTAAAATAAGTGATAGATTATTATTTTTAAAGTATTTTGTTAAAAGGTTGTATATCGTCTCCTTTTTTTTATAGCTCATAATGATTCCTGATCATTCTCTTTTTTTTAGTTTCTGTTTAAATGTGTACTTATAGCATTTTATATACACACATCATTAGAAACCATGTACACGAAGAACATGTAATGATTGTAAGCCACAGGGTAATAAACACTGCAGTCTCTACCCTTCCATTAGGAATGTGCGTCATAAGAATCACTATTGATCGAAATAGCAAATTTTCTTTTTCTTGTAACCTATAATAATTTGCTAGCTTCTAACAAAGGAAGAAAATTACAGTAACAATGAATAAAACAAGAAATTTAGCATATAGATACAAAAGTAATCATATTTTTTCGTTGAAATCCCCGATGAATAAAATTCTACATTTAGCACAACTGGGAACTGTTAGCTCTGTTGGTAGAGCGTCGAACTCGCCATCCTTAGGTCGCGGGTTCAATGCCCAGCCAGTCCAGTCCAGGTCGACTGCCTCGGTGTGTTCTTGGGAAAAACATCTTCATATTGTCGGTATTATTTAACCAAGAATGTTTTGAAAGTACCGTTTAAAACACAATGATTCATCACAACCTACAAGTGAAAATCATGTTGGATCACGGTTATACTTAAAAGAAAACAAACCATACATATGCATTCCTATTTTTCTGGAAACGAAATGAACTTCTTTTAAGGGAAAGAGGTCTGATTTGTGATGAAAACTTGACATTTTGTGGCCGTCTGTTGTGAAAATTGATGCCAGATATATGAAACTCAGCTCTAATAAAGTTACTTTTTATTATTAATTTTGATGTTTATGTATGTGCGTATTGAGATGTGTGTATATATATGTCCAGAGATGGGAAACGAACACGCGTCTTTTCTGGTAATAATAAACCCATTAGTCATTTAAAATATAAGATAGGTTGGGGGGGGGACAGTATATAAATTGTATTTCGAGTTTCTGTTGTAATTTCCTTTTAATATCTCTTCGTAAGACAGAAATTACCTCCACATTTCTACTTTTAGATTTTCCCAATTATGGTCACGTTAAGCGAGCGAGACATACAAAAGAGAGAGAGAGAGAGAGAGAGAGAGAGAGAGAGAGAGAGAGAGAGAGAGAGAGAGAGAGAGAGAGAGAGAGAGAGAGAGTCACTATTACATTTTCCCTTCTCTCGTCCCTCCACTAATAAAACGAATGTAAACAACACATGACATGTGCTAACGAAAGCAAGTGTCTTTAGAAAGACATATTTACGAGCTATATGTCACATTAATAAAGGATAACATGGTTTTAAAATGTTATTTATGCAGACTTTTCCCAGGCAATTCATTGCATAACATGCAAATTTTGTACCGTTCATTTTTACTTTGCTAGAGTTATTTAGTGGCCAAACCTTCGTTCTCCCTGCAAGCTTGTTTGTTACACGTGCTGGCTGACCTTGTCATCCTAACAGAAACGATCAGCGGAGCACTTACCACTTAATGCACACGATTAAAATTGTCAACCGTTCATTAGTGAAATCATGTTTCCAAAATTATCTAAATGCCTGACACACGTTTTGCACGTGAAATTTTGTGCGTTTAGCGTAGGGAGATTGCACAGAAATACCATGTCAGAATCCTGTTTATCTCATCTGTGTTAACTGCACGGTACATATTAAAAATTTTTAAGATACTACCATGTCAAGATTGTTATCATTGTCTAGTTTCGTGTTATTTTTGGTGCAGGAAATTGCAATCTTACTTGAGAATAAGTAACCAAACTGTGACGAATCCGATATATATTTGATCACAAATACCCGCATCTTCACGTAGCCCTCCAAAAATGTCGCTACCTTCACCTTCACTGTTCGTTCATTCTCGACGTATGATATTGAAATTTCAACCACCTCGGTGTAATTCAAAATATACACTGTAAAACGTCGAAATAGAAGGTAGAACTTTAACCCACCACTGTAGAGTTCAACATATAAAATCTAAAAATCTCGATCTTGAAAATGGAATTTTGGGGTCATGCAATTTGATCCAACACGCGATATTGGATATTTTTTTTTTTTTTTTTTTTTTTTCATACATCTAATTTTCACTGCAACTTACTCATTGGACCAGCTTTGTCCGCTACGGCGTCTCATGCCTACGTTACAACATTTGCAGGTTCTCTTTTTATACTAACGATTGCTTTCGTATGCATTGTCGAACCGCGAAACGAACAGCAGATGACTTTTTTTTTTTTTGAGCACTCATTGCTAAGCGTGGATTCCTTCTAGATTGGATCTCTTTTCAGCCTTTACATTTAAGCTTTAGTTTATGATTTAAAAGGCAGGTGAAAATATAAAGTATATTGCCTATAATAACCGAAGCATTTGATTCTCTGTTACGGTCAGTGAATGCTGTTAACGTTTTTCTGTTTCATTAAATAAGAATACAAATTTGCTTATATCATCATCAAATGAATAAGGTAATCATTCATTTATTGATAAAAAAAGATCAATGTTCCAACCTTTTTCTATAACTACAAACAAACAAAAAATACTTCGGTCAACAATGTCTTTATTTAAACATTTTTACAAGACACCAATAAATATTTTAAATTATGGTTATTATATACTTAATATTTCAAATCTATGAATTATTACATCTACATCAGTCAAATATACTGCTGCATTTATAATTCAGTCCTAAATTATGATGCAGTCATTATTTTCAGAGAAAGAAAGGTTTGCCCAACTCATGAAACTTTCTCTTGAACCTTAGTTTCATATTTCCTCAGCGCACGGAACATCATCGCAAGCCATGAGCGAAAATCCGCTGCGCTCCTGATTACAAAAAAAAAAAAAAAAAAAAAAAAAAAGAACGAAGAGCGAGACGGATTTCCGCCCGCGACTTACAGAGACGATGAAAGTAAAGAGAGTCGCCCATCATTATTGACAGCGAGACCTGTCTTATCAGTGAAATGAGTGAGGCTGATTTCTGTCTGTTTAATATTAAAAAAATTTAGTCCTCCTTACCATTCGCAAAGACACCGTATTAGGTTTGACACTGACAATTGCAACTTACTGCCAAATGCATATACGTTAGTTAATTGCACTAATACATCGATCTACTGATTAATTGATTTGTTCCTTCATCTTTCTTTGATCGTTTGCCTGTTTGCTTATTTCTTAATATGTTTCTCTGTTTGCTCAATCTGTTATGATATACACATCTTATTGATGAAATATTCTTTATTTATCGTTATTTGTCATCTTGAAATCTTTTCTTATTTATTTGTTTATTAATTACCCATTCTAACACTGAGTGTACAGTATGAATGCTTGAGTTTGTGGTATTGTAAATGTCGTTAAGGGGAATAACGTCCTTTTTCGAAGAAAACCAGTAAAATGCAAAGCTACTACCTTTGAAATCGCTACAAAGTAATATGTCGATCAAAATCTCGGAAAGTTAAGTATATATGACCACCAGTTTTACAATCATTTCTTGGAAGTGTCATATTAAATTAAAGTGCATACAGTGTACTTTATGTCTTATTGTCTGTATCTACGAAGTAAATGGAAACAAAAATGGAATTTCCGTCGACCATTACATGCTTTTCCGATGCTTTGCATCCCAGTTATAAACTATGTTCAGAAGTTATCGGGAAACAATTTATTCCGGTATATTTGCAGATACTTATCAATATTGGTCAGTGTCGCTGACCGGCCACTGTAGTCATCAAGAGAGTGCGTAGCAAATCGGCAATGACGGATGTCAATGTACGGCGCGGTCGTAAAGTCTCTAAAGTGGGTAGTCGTATAAATCAACAATACCAAATGTTGATACTCTCGACTGATGCCTATTAGAGGGCGATTTATCCTCCGAGAGTGCATTTTTCAACTGAAACAATGATTAATAATTTAGCTTCTCTAGCTTAATGAAATACATTTGAGGTTGAGCAGTCTTATCTATTCAGTGCTAAACATATGCCGTTTGTACTCACTTATAAGGCAAGACAAGTGCAACCTATTCAGACCCAGATAAGCCGCTGCATAATGCGCACTCGTATCCGGTTGTATGTAGTTTGTCAGGAATAATAAGTAAAACAACCAACATAGACTCAGATCTGCAGGCATATTATGATACTGCAGATAAGAATCTTTGTTGTTTGCAGTTTGACTTATCGAAGAAGCGAGTATTTGTGGTATCTCGGGTGTTATAAGCTACCTTCATAAGAAATATTATTATATTCTCTTCATTTATTAGAAAGATGGATCTGTTTGATATCGTCTATACTTAGTGGAGAAGGTGAACGGTGCATGAACTTTATTTGATACTGGCCCCAACTGGAAATGGTTAGAAGCTAAATTTTAACCAAAAGAAAAAGAAAAGAACAGAAAAAAGAAAACGAAAACACGGAAGCTAACCAACATGGCTACTCCGATGTGCTCTAAAAATTAGCCTGAATTATTAGCACTTATTAAAATAGGAAAAATTAATTTTGCCAGCTAAGACAATACCAGTTTCTGAAGTTGCAATGAATAAATTACAAAATATTTAAGAATAAAAAAGTTCTTGGCTCCTTTTTTTTAAAATTTACGTTTGAAGTGCATGGAGTTAAAACGACGGAGCGCAGCTAGTAGTTTTTGAAAGGTACACAAGTAAGCCAAGTCATATATTCTATAATCCGAATTACACCAATAAAACTTACACCAAAATAAAGAGAATTGAACGTTGAAGGTTTGTATTCAATAGCATAGATAACCAGTCAAATAAACCTGCAAATTATTTTTCTTTACAAATTTAACCTTATACAAAATACAAAACGTTACAACGACACCATGGTGCCTCAATATTTAAGTTCTATTTTATTTTTCTGTTAAAAATACAAAAAACTGTGATGTCTTTCTTTCCTTACAAATCTAAATATAAGTCAACGTAAAATGAAAACTCGATTGTTTTGATGTATTGTTATTGCAAACTTCTACGCATGTCTGTTACAAAGGGAGACTATTCACACTATACCATGATGGACGTATGATTAAAAAAATTTTTTAGGCAAAGTAGTGTGTGTGTGTGTGTGTGTGTGTGTGTGTGTGTGTGTGAATGTTGGACATTTTTACTTCCATTTTCTCTCTCAGATATTTGAACATTTTGTTATTATCATGATAGAATTTTTATGCAGGCATGGTCGCATGCATCCACACATTTATTTAGAAAAACTCGAGATGAACAATAGCTGTGTCCGTTTTGTATTTGCAGAAAACTACTACAAATTTGGATCTTCTAGTTGACTTCGACCAACGTGGATAAACAGACGATAATTTCAACGAGGGGGCTAGACTAGCAATGTCCTTTATCATGTCCAAATATTCTCCAGATGTGTTTTTACAGAATTGTTAAAACTTAATCGTGGCAAATATTGGAGGTACGTTTTAACGTTTTAAGCAAAACTTTTGTCGAATCATAAAACAAACATGACAGTTTAAAAAGATTTGAGTTATCATTAA